TAAATCAAAATAAATTTTCTTCTTCTTTTTATTAAGTTTAGTAACAAAATTTCTCATTTTACGATATAGGTCCCAATCACATTTATTTCCTGTAGTAACTGCTGTTCTTTTCATTTGACCTCTTATTTTCATAGAATTTTCCAGTTCATCATCCAACCAAGGTGTGACATTGTTCCTGACAGTAAACTTCTTTAAAGGCGCGTCGTCTAATGGGGTGGAGGAGAGATAGGGAGAGTTGTGGTCGGGTTAGGGTTTTATTCCTGGAAGAGCGACATCCAGCGGATGATTTCATAATGTCGAGTAAGTCTTTTATTGTATTTTACATTAGTCAACATGTTATTTTTAGAATAGCATGTACATCATTTACCTGTTGGGCTTACTGCTGTCAGACTGAAATCTGTGAAGTCGAGTAAATGATACAGGCAATTTTAAATGCACAAATGAGTAGGCCTAGGCTATGTAAATGTTATGGCTTAATTGAGCCTATATCATATATGCCTAAAATCAAATTATAGGCTACAGGCTGTATAATTTGATATAATTTATATATGATATGATGCTGTGATATAAAAGTTACATAAATTTTGAATATATTTCACTGGCTTAGTTTTGGGTAACATATGACCATTTTTACTGCCTCGTATCCTCACACTCTTACTACCACCATCATTTATTTTTTATATTTTGATTATATTATTATTATATCCCTCACATATCATGGCCATTCTAACACACAAAGTGTCACACAAAAGTGATCGTTTAGCGATCGAAATTCATTCACTTTTCTGAAACGATGAGAAAAGATTCCAGGTTTCGATTAAAGATTTCACTGGAAAAGGTTTACTTTGGCACGTGTACTCATTGTTGTTGGTAAAACGTAACGAACTGTCTAAAGCTATTAATATACTAAATAAAACAATTTCGCTGATACAATACCTTCACTAGCATTGACTTTGAATGGACACTAATCAACTAATGTTTCCACCATCAACACGCGGGGTGGAATGGCTGCCAGGTCTGCGTAACAAAATTAGCCCAATGACCAATCAAAAATAGCCTAAAAGTAGCCAAATGATCATACCAAATATCAAAACTCAAAATATAACAATCCAATAGCATTATTTACATTTACTGTTAGGCTACAACTGAAACCCACTTTATCGTATAATGATAAAGTTTTATCATTAGAACATAAAATATTACAATACAAGCATTTCAGTCAAATATCATTTATGCAATATCTCAAAACCTTTAACCTGCGGCCATTTCCGCGGGAAAACTACAGACGTGGCAACCCTGACAAAGACAAAGACCAACTGAGTTCAGCATTAAAAAAACAACTCATCTTTGGAAAAAGAAAAAACATGTACAACAAAAAAAATTTGTAATATGTCCTATACATCCAAATGCAACATCCAATACAGGTATTGTGTCTGAAATAATGTTAGCCAGAACTACGCCCTGTTTATATTTAATTATATATTTTCAGTAGGCTAAAAATGCATTGAATGAATTTCACTAACGCTGATCATAAAATGTCTTATTTTTTCACTACTTCTGAGGCTTTTCAGTAACTATGGCCAAAGTGTGTGAGGCAAGACTTCAGACAAACAGGGGTGTATGTTAATAAACTCATTAAACGATCAAGAACCTGCAAGTGCTTTCTCGGATCGCTGCAATATAATTCAGCTCGATTTCTTGACTCTCCAGCTGAGGACAATAAAACCTTTTTTGTTCATATTTTTTCATTAGCCTAAATACCGACTTACATTTAGTTTGGCTAAACCAGTAGCCATGCGTGTTCCTGCAGGCGTCCCCTAACCAAACACACCTGAACCAGCAAGCCCAGTGTGTGCAGGGCTACTGGAAGATGGCAGAGATACAGCTGTGTTGGAACGGAGCCTTCCAGATGTTTCCAGAACTGCATGTTCTTCAATAAAAAGATTTGACATTTATCATCTCAAGTTTGTTGTTTTAGCATTAACTTTGAGGTCATTAATATACGAAGGATTAATTTTACATACATTTCTGTCATCCTGCAGACCCCTGTAAAGTTTGCTGTGGGCCCCAAGAACCACTGGCCTAAATAAAGCACACTTCTTCGAGTCGAGTCTGTCTTGAAGGACATGTACACTTGGACTACGACTGGATAACTACGAAAAGGCCAAATGTAAAAAAAAATTAAAAAACATCTTTCAGAGAACACTGCTTCACTGTTCTCACTGATTCAGATCAAATGTATGCATTTGGCAGAAGCTTTTCTCCAAAGTGACTTCCATTGCATTTAAAGTATAAATGTTTCATGCTTTCCCTGGTAACACAATGTAAGAAATAGGCTACACAATGCAAAGAACAGTGTTTTATTAATATCAAACGAAACTCAAACTTTTGCCAAAAACATTGCAGAGGGTAAAAGAACATTTTAAGCATTGAACATGTTCAGAATAGAAGATAACGTAACAATATTACATGTGCATTCAAGTATTCTAAGACCAACTAAGACATGCCTTCTGGATCAATGATGGACGCTCGTACTGAAGGCACTGCAGCCAGTAGTGACACACTTTATTCATCGACAGGTTCACATGATCTACAAGTGCTGGAATCAATTATGGTGTATCCCTCTAGGCAGGAGCATTTCTTTAAATTATTATTAATATTACATATCTGGGAGGGAAAAAAAGGAGAATACAACAGTTGAACTTTTTCATGACAGGTTTTCAAGCTGAAGCGTTTACCCTCATCGGCTCTGGTATTTCACGGAGTGTATGAACACACACCTTATCAATCGTCCGTGATAAAGGCCTCAGTCACGAGCCTGCCTGCAGGAACACACACCGCTCACTTTTTGGTACTTTGGACATGACAGGGTCAGGCAACACTTCAGCCGGGATGATTGACAGCTGGCTGACTGCTGCCCAAAACAAATGCAAATCCAAAACTGGAAAACTGAAGTAATGGTGTTTTTAAAAGCGGCTCCTTAAAAGTAGCCTAATATTTTTTTCAATATTGTAAATAGACAAATAGGCTTCATCTTTTTCACTTTATGTTAAGTATTGTATATGTGTTGCTGTTTAGATAAATAATAAATTACACTGTTCCAATAGTGTAGTGTCACTAAATCAATTTTTAACAGTAGTACAAAGAATTCATAGCACATTAACATGAAAACTATACAACAAAACTATTAATTAGGCTTCAATTAAAACCAATATGTAAATAAAAAAAACTTTGGAAATACTGTAATAAAATATCACCAACACATCACAATTAATAAATATATAATGAATTAATCTAAGGTGCTTTTTAGAGCATATTCCACCGACGGTTAGCTGAATGTAACAGTGAAACAATAGGATAGTTGGACTGGATTAGATAGATGACCTAAAAGACGAAACTAAACTATAGAATACAGTCTGTAATGTTGAAATCGGTGAAATCTAGCAATTCAGTTCAATGCATTCATTAAAATCACACGAGAAAGATATAGAAGAAAAAAGATGGAGGAAAAGTATCAAACAACTAGCAAAGATCCTAAAGAAACATGATCCCGATGTCTAGAACTAATATATCTTCGTTCATCATGATTAAGATTTAAAAAAAAAAACTCAAAAAAGCAAATGGATACATATTAAACATTGCTGTGAAAATGGAGAAATAAGATCCCATAAACTGTTACCAGTGCTTATCGCGTGAAGCGGTGAGAGATTGTCTGTTGACCAAAAATTATTAATCAAGTTCCCCCTGGACTTTGGTTTTATAGCAATGTTATCTACTATGTGCACTATCAACCTTCATTAACACACATTTCTTCCAGACAACAACAGAGTATTATTCAGTGTAAGATGATCCAGTGAGTCTCCTGCAAAATATTGATTAAAGAAATGAAAAGGCCATTAATGGTTTCTATATGCTAATGTTGGCTTGGCTTCTCCGAGGAAAAGCCTCTCCTGCACTAAGCCTATCGGAGTGTGTTTTAAAGAACATCCGGATTGCGTAACAGTCAAGATCCTCACCTGACACGAGTTACTAATGTACGCAGAATAACACACACACACGTGCGACTGGATGTTGAGGGGGAACAAATGACTAAACGCATTTTTGCAGTACAGCCATTTTCACACTTAATTTACAAAGGTATCATTTTTCTCTCACACACACACACACACACACACACACACACACACACACACACACACACACACACACACACACACACACACACACACACCTATCTTTGTGAGGACATTCATTGACCCTAATTCTAATTATAACCTCATCACTAAAACCAGATCTTAATCCTCAAACAGGCCTTTAAAGGGCTCTCAGAAAGCGAGGACCTGCCAAACACACACACACACACACACACACTCTCTCTCTCACACACACACACAGTAGGAATTAAGCAATTAAGACACACCATTTATTGCTAATCTTAAAAAACCTCACCATGGCAATGAATGTATGGCCCTGTAACACACACTTTTACAATAATTCGTTGTGGGGATAAAGGATTCTTTCCCATGTCATTATTTACTCACCCTCATGTCTTTCCAAACTGAAAAAAGGAGAAAAGAAAAAAGGGGGGGGAAGGTTAATGCAGTTCATTTTCATACAAAGTCAGTTCACGATGACTCCGTCTGTCACTGTGACACTAGTGCCATAAATACACATATAATACGGCTGCTCAATTTCATGAAATATGTCATTGTGCCTTTTCTGATAACAACAGAGATTGCGATTTAAAATGTGATTTATAAAAACATCTCCATGTTTGCAGGGCTGCACATTTTAGCCATAAATTACAAAGCTAATATTTACGGCTGCCTCAAGTGTTCTTCGAAAGCTTTTCGTGGCAGAGCCTGCAGGGAGCTTCTCTTAGCGGTCAGCAGCTTCTCGTTACAGGGCTGTGAAGATGCTTGGCTCAAACTCGCGTGTAAAGCGACACAGTGCCACGCTTCACTCTGAAACACACATATGCAGGATTTATCTGATTTGGTTTTACTTCAAATGTCGTGCAGCCCTATCATCTATGCTACAACTCTATGCTTTAACTTCGCTATATTCCAAGTCTTCCACAGTCTCTCGATAGTTTTGTGTGACAGACAGATATCAAAGTCTTTCTTTGCTGGACGCAGAGCTTCAGCATCAATAACCTATGATATGGCTTGAGCACACCTTGAATATAGCACACGATCCACATGGAGGGTCACCATCAACTGTCCTTGTATAAAATTAGCTTTTTTTTGTTCCATAGAAACCAAAACGAACAGTGTGGAAGAGCATGAGGGTGAGCACATAATGACAGAACTAGTCTTCTCGGACGAACGGCTCCTTTGAAGCTTCCCCTGCCTCGGTGTTCCCTCACACACAGAAGATCAGTGGTGTATGGATGGCGTAGTGGGGGAGAGGGGTAAAAAGGGAGCCCTACACTGAGTGTGTTAGTGCTGGGCGTCCGAGGCCTCATGTCTTGTTGCGTGTGAACACGCGCTCGCCCCGCAGGTTGAGGTGCTGGAGCTGGTATTGCAGCACCTCGGTGTCCGCCGGCTCCCTGAGGCTCATCTTGTCCAGGTTGAGGTAGTCCAGGGACTTGGAGTGGACGCGTTTGCCCTTCAGCAGGCACAGGGGCAGCGGGCCGTGCGGGGTCTTGCCGGGCTCCCCGCTGGCCAGAGACTTCAGACAGCCGTCTCCTGAGCTGGGCATGCGCCGGCGCCGCCGCCCGTTGATGGCTGGGATGTCGTACGGTTGGTAGTATCGGCTTTTGGCTTTGCAGATCCGCGAGGCTCGGTGCAGACTTACATCCACAGGCTTTTTGATGGGGCTGGGCAAGGCCTCTGTGTTGCTGCTGTCAGGACTAGACCACTTGTGGGCTAATTTAAGAAGCTCCTCGCCGGTGGTGAAGCCCACTAGATAGTTGGAGTTCATGTGAAGGATTTGGTATCCTGAGACAGTACTTTTGATGGGGGAGCAGGGGGTGCTGGAGCAGCGGGGTTTGTCAGGCTCGGGCTTCAGGGTGCTTTTGACCTCAGCGGCTGACAGAACGGATATGGGTGCCCTGGACGATCCACTGGCATCCATTTCCATCTTTACTGACATGACCTGGCTGAAACAGAGAGGAATAAATCATATATATAAGGGCTGGGACAATAAATTGATGCATCGGGAATCGAGAAATGATTCTAGATTGATTCTAGAGATTTTCCGAATGCATCGCGATTCTCTCTCGAATCGATTCGGAGCTTAGTTTTTACCAGCAGAGGGCAGTGCGTGCTCTAGAAACAGCTGTACTCTGCTGGCTTCCAATGCCTTACACACACCACACCACCTTCTATAAAATAATCATTCATAAAGTTTGAAAAGGTCGAAGCGAATCACAAGGGTGTTTGCAGTGGGCTGTTGACATTAATCTCGCCTCATAAAAGCATTCTGAGGTGCGAGTACATTCTCAGACTCAGCCAAAAAGCATGAGCGCTCTTCTTCGTGAGCATTTGAGCGTGCGGTTACAAACTAGCCTAGAGCGCCATCAGCTGTTACAAACTAGCCTAGAGCACCATCAGCTGTTACAGACTAGCCTAGAGCGCCATCAGCTGTTACAAACTAGCCTAGACCGCCATCAGCTGTTACAAACTAGCCTAGAGCGCCCTCAGCTGTTACAGACTAGCCAAGAGCGCCATCAACTGTTACAAACTAGCCTAGAGCGCCATCAGCTGTTACAAACTAGCCTAGACCGCCATCAGCTGTTACAAACTAGCCTAGAGCGCCCTCAGCTGTTACAGACTAGCCTAGAGCGCCATCTGCTGTTACAGACTAGCCAAGAGCGCCATCAGCTGTTACAAACTAGCCTAGAGCGCCATCAGCTGTTACAACCTAGCCTAGAGCGCCATCAGCTGTTACAGACTAGCCTAGAGCGCCATCAGCTGTTACAGACTAGCCTAGAGCGCCATCAGCTGTTACAAACTAGCCAAGAGCCCCATCAGCTGTTACAAACTAGCCAAGAGCGCCATCAGCTGTTACAAACTAGCCTAGAGCGCCATCAGCTGTTACAACCTAGCCTAGAGCGCCATCAGCTGTTACAGACTAGCCTAGAGCGCCATCAGCTGTTACAAACTAGCCAAGAGCGCCATCAGCTGTTACAAACTAGCCTAGAGCGCCATCTGCTGTTACAGACTAGCCAAGAGCGCCATCAGCTGTTACAAACTAGCCTAGAGCGCCATCTGCTGTTACAGACTAGCCAAGAGCGCCATCAGCTGTTACAAACTAGCCTAGAGCGCCATCAGCTGTTACAAACTAGCCTAGAGCGCCATCTGCTGTTACAGACTAGCCAAGAGCGCCATCTGCTGTTACAAACTAGCCTAGAGCGCCATCAACTGTTACAAACTAGCCTAGAGCGCCATCTGCTGTTACAAACTAGCCTAGAGCGCCATCTGCTGTTACAAACTAGCCTAGAGAGCCATCAGCTGTTACAAACTAGCCAAGAGCGCCATCAGCTGTTACAAACTAGCCTAGAGCGCCATCTGCTGTTACAGACTAGCCAAGAGCGCCATCAGCTGTTACAAACTAGCCTAGAGCGCCATCAACTGTTACAAACTAGCCTAGAGCGCCATCTGCTGTTACAAACTAGCCTAGAGCGCCATCAACTGTTACAAACTAGCCTAGAGCGCCATCTGCTGTTACAAACTAGCCTAGAGCGCCATCAACTGTTACAAACTAGCCTAGAGCGCCATCTGCTGTTACAAACTAGCCTAGAGCGCCATCTGCTGTTACAAACTAGCCTAGAGCGCCATCAGCTGTTACAAACTAGCCTAGAGCGCCATCTGCTGTTACAAACTAGCCTAGAGCGCCATCAGCTGTTACAAACTAGCCTAGAGCGCCATCAACTGTTACAAACTAGCCTAGAGCGCCATCTGCTGTTACAAACTAGCCTAGAGCGCCATCTGCTGTTACAAACTAGCCTAGACCGCCATCAGCTGTTACAAACTAGCCTAGAGCGCCCTCAGCTGTTACAGACTAGCCTAGAGCGCCATCAGCTGTTACAAACTAGCCTAGAGCGCCATCTGCTGTTACAAACTAGCCTAGAGCGCCATCAGCTGTTACAAACTAGCCTAGAGCGCCATCTGCTGTTACAAACTAGCCTAGAGCGCCATCAGCTGTTACAAACTAGCCTAGAGCGCCATCTGCTGTTACAAACTAGCCAGAATCGATTCGCGATGCAGTCAGAAAAAATTGGAATCGATTCATGAATCGCGATGCATCGATTTATTGTCCCAGCTAGTGTTGTCACGGTACCAAAATTTCAGTATTCGGTACCAATACCAGTGAAAATCCACGGTTCTCGGTACCAATTTCGGTACCAAAGCTTAATTTAGATTAAATTTACATATATTAAAATGTATCACAGTTACAAAGATGGAAACTGTAGTATTAAAAACACTTTACAATAAGATTCTATTTGTTAGATAACATTAGATAAAATGACCTAACAATAAACCATAGTTATATAGCAATTATTCTCCTTGGGGTTAATTTAAAAATATACTAAATACATTTTTAAAATCTAAAGTTTTATCTGTTAACATTATTTAATGCACAATGAATGAAGTGAACAAACATGAACAATCAAGTGTTTGTATTAAATAACATTCACAAACATTAATTAATGTTGTAAAAATATATTGTTCACTCAATGTGTTGATGTTAACACATTAAGTAATGTTAATGAATGGTATCTTATTGTAGTGTTACCAAACTATACAGGAGATAAAATATGTTTTATTTGACTTAACTGTAGCCTACTTTTATTTAATCCAAAACTGCAAAAAAATTCACTTTCCTGTCTTCAAAACTTGAGAACCCTGTAGTGCTAATGCAAGGGCTAGAAATCAATAAATGATTTGCTGATACTTCCTGGTCATCACGGAGAGCGCAGTTTGCACCGCTTTCTCCTTCTCTCCACAAGCGCTCGCTCTCGCGTGTCTCCGCTATGCAACCATAAACAGTGACACGCCTGGAAAAACAAGCTCGCACGTCGCTTCTATTATGAGCGCGCTTCCCGCGCGCCTACATTTGAAATTTGTACGCGCAAAAAAGTGCTATGTGAACGTGTGAACGCCTGAACGGCCCTTTATGGCAACGCGACATTAGCCTAATTCAACATATTTCCATGTGTGGCTCTTTCCTCCTTTCTTGTCAACAAGTGGATTCAGAGCCAACGCATTAGCAGCGCCGCCGGTCGCCATGTCTCAGTGTTTTTATGAAGAGGACGCAACTCTGCACCTTTCGGACAGCGCATCAAGAACCGGATTAACCCGGTACTCGGTACCTAAAAGCTGGTACCGCAACCGTTAATTTTTTTTAGTACCGACTTGGTACCGAAGTACCGAGTTTTTTGACAACACTAGTCCCAGCCCTAATATATATTATGTTACAAATAAAGTTAGTACTTTTAAGGCCCGTTCACAGCAAGGACGATAAAGATATAGTTCTAAAAAATTCTCTCAATATTAAAGAATAGCAGAGTTCACACCACAGCTATAACGATAACGATATAGAGAAACGATATCGTTGGGATCACTTTCGAAACAATTTTTTTTTTTTCAGCTGTTGAATGATAAAACACTGACAGCCAATTAGAATCCATTCTAATTTAAGGGCTCGCACATTTAAAATGGCAGACGACATTGCGGAAAAGTTAATCGCCGTGGTCCAAACAAAATTCAGCACTGTTTGACAAGTCAATCCCCTTTTCAAGAAAATGGATATGGAAAACAACCGTTCATTCCCTCTGAATAAATGGTGTGAAGTATTACCTCAGGTATCCAGCGCTCGTTTACACAACATTGTCTTGCTTCCTTTGAAGTTGCCGTGAAAAAGACTAGGTGTTGTTTTTATTCCACTATATTGACTACGTCAGCTAAATTCACTGTTAGATTATTAGATCGATGACACTAGCTTCACTCAAAACACAGCATGCTGAGGACATCTGCTGGTTAAAGCAACAAGAACAGCAAAACATGTTTAATGATGTTCTACACACTTTGAAACCGCAGCGCACAAGCTTAGAATAAACAGACCGTTATCGTTCGTTGGTGTGGACGTAAATATAGTTATCGTTATAGTTATCTTTCTTGGTGTGAACGGCCCTTTAGTTACAACACACATCGTTTCAAAGCAGCTTTACAAAAAGTTGTAGCCTACTCTTCTGTACATAGAGCAAGTTTTAGGGATGGACAATATGACGATTTATAACATGGTAATACGAGATGAGTGATCCTCTGTATTTAGATCTAGCTGTATTGTATTTGAAATGTTGTCTAGCACATATATTAGTGGAGCAGTGACTTGAGCATTCAAAGGCAATTAAGAGATTTCAATGTTTGTCGGTTTTCTTCAAAGTGAGAGTAAGCAATTCTCGGCTGATTAAAGTCCCCCTGTGGGGAAAATCCAGCTTTTAATGTTGTTTATATGTCTATGAAATGTTTTTAATGTGCTTTAAGACAAACCATGTGTAAATTCATAAGTCGACAGCATTGCTGAGTATTTTCTCCTTAAAAACTGCAGTGAACCAAAGACAGTCTCAAAAACACGGTGTGAAATCGCTGGTGTTTCTGACGTCACACACTACCTTGTAACCAATCAGATCAACGTGTGATCGTCAACCAGTGGATCTCTGAGCTGAGTGAGTGAGTGGAGGCGGGGCTCGTTTGCATATTCATAGAACCGCACGTATACTAAATGAGGCAAGGGTGTTGAGTTACATTCAAGCTATTTTAAAGTCCCCATGAATTCAAAATTGACCATATTTACTTTGTTTGCCTAAATTGATCGTTTTGTGGTGAACAATTCATCCATGCAAGTCAATCCACACAAAAAATTTTTTTGGCTTCGTAATCTTTAATCAAAATCTGAAATTTCCCCTCCCCTCTGCATTGGAGGACCTTCCCTGATGACGTAGGGAACATCCGTAACCACGCCCCTCCAACTGACAGTAGACAGGCTGAATGAAAACACCTACTTTTCTAGATCCAATCAGGTGCTAGTTGGAAAAAAACTCTCGGAAATACGTCACAACACTGGAGAAAAGTCGTTTGCAACTTCCGGTACACG